CATGACATCAAATTGTCAAATTTAAAGCTTTGCCGTTTAATGTCCATAACATATAGATGTAATAACGAGTACTAGCTCCTATCAATACATTTCGTTAATCTTGCCTGTATTAAAACTTATAGTCTAAGGTACATAATCAGTTGCAAGAAGTAAGCTTTCGTGATCTAATGAATAGATCCTTCACTGCAAAAACGTCATACTTGTGACTTTTCCATTGTTTGGCGAAATCGCATACAGACAGAGGCGTGTTAGAATTTAAGCGTGATGATTTCAATTTTCGCCATCTTATCATTGAACTAGTTGTATTTTGAGTTTAAGGACTCAATTTATTAAAATTTAAGTAATTTTTTACATATATAATATTATTCAGTGTCGAAATATTAAGTCCAATTCAATCCATGCTCTATCTAATCGAGCTAGGTACAGGTCCACTACCCACTAATGCAAGTCCTAACAACATCTACTAATTAGACGTAAGAATGGTGTGGGCTGGCCATTTTTTATAGAGGGAACTCCTTTCCATTTTCCATTCTATCAATTTCTCCAAGTTCCTACTTGGATGAAAGCCACATGACATAGTTAAGAATTAAAGGTTGAGATTTAATTAACCAAGCAAGGTGTTATTCATAGTTAGGATAATTAATATTTTCTTATCAATTTCTTAAGTTTCAAATCATTCTTCTTTTTCCATTTTTCTGAACTTCCATAATTTCTTAAGTTTTCGATAATTATTCTTTCTTTTTTTTTCAATTTTCTGAACTTCCATTATTTTTTTTTAAAAAGAGCTAATCTTTATTTGACTTTGTGTTTATCTTTACTTGCTTCAGAGTTAAATCCTTGTTGGAAGCTAATTTTAAAGAAAATTGCCATCTCTACAGGATTAAATTTTTGCAGTTGAAGAGATAGCTTGATGGAATTTTAGTGTCAAACAGATTCATTGTTGTGGTTATTGAAATTGGGTATTTTGTTAAGATGCAATCCTAGTAAATTGAGTTCTAGTCCCTTTAGTTCTTAGTTCGTCTTTTTAGTCTAGGTGTTGTTGTCTCATTTGTGAGTCGACACGTGTCTTGTCCTTTTTCTGAATAGCCATTAGTCATAGTACCTAGATTGTCTATTGTTCATTGGTTGAGGAATCTTCACAGCTGTTAAAGAATGGTATTATATATCTTACCCGAGTCACTGTAAAAGGGGGCATGAATGAAAAATCTTATTGTTTCTTAATTTTAAATTCTCTTTTTTGTTCTTTTATCTTATTCGAATAGCTATTACGCAACAAGTGGTATCAGAACCTGACTCATGAATGCGATAGGCTTATTATTTTGAGAAAGCACATCCCCAACTCCCAGTCCACTTGCATCAACCTCCACTACGAAAGGCACTTTAAAATTTGGTAAAGCCAAAATTGGCGCCTGAGTCATAGCAATTTTTAATGCTTCAAAAGCTTCTATTACAAGTGTTAATCAGAGCCAGGCTTTACGGCGGTCTGTGGTAACGATGGTAGAAATACAGAAAGACAAAGCTCTTGATGATGGTTGGAAAAAGATTAAAAATCAGCTTCAAGCTTACATAAGTGAATCGCGCAAACGGATAGAGATAATTGAAAAGAACCAAGCTCGCTTAAATGCTGAAGCTACGCAAAGGTAGGAAGAAAACATTCGTCGGATGGATACTCTTCTGGGTCATTATGAATCTGAACGATGATTGGAATCTGTGGCTTCTGGAAGATCGATTGCCGTTTTGGCTTTCGGAAACTCATCGATGGAAAAAGGTGATTCTTCAGTGAGTGGTGCTCTTAGATCTGTAGCTTCTCCGGTAACACTTATTTTTACTCAGTCGAGTAGGGGTATGTCATTATCTGCAGCTCCCTTCAATCCTACTATTGCTTCCGCTGTTGTTCGATGCATCGTTATTTTCAGTCGACAGTATATCCTCCAGCTCCGCTATCCTTAACCCACCCAGCTATAACTACCTTACCTTTTTCAGCCGTAAACACTAGCTTACCTGCTTCTAATTTTGCAACCCAGATTAACCAAGTCAATACTCAGTCACCAGTCACTATAACGTTTCTTCCTCCTTTGGCTTACCAAGCTATTGTCAACAACTCATTTTCACAACCCAACACTCTACCCAATTTACAAATACCTGTCCAACCCACATCATTAACACTAACCAACCCAACAACCATTTTAGAGGCCTAAAAGTCAAGCTGAGTTTTCCAGAGTTTGCTATTAACAACCCTCGTGGATGGATCCGGCATTGTGATAAATATTTTGAGCTCTACCAGATTACACCAGAGGAGAAAATGGGTTTTGTGTCGGTCCATATTAAGAAAAAAATGGACACATGGTTCAATGTATATATGATGGAACATGGTGGTCAAGTTATTTGGAAAACCTTCTGTTTGGATGTGCGCCGCAGATACGGCAACATTAGGCCCATGGACATTGTGGTACAATTTAATAGGCTTCAGCAGTGGTCAGATGTGAAAATTTATTTCACTAAGTTTGAAGAACTGCACTTTTATTTGCTGCTTATTAATCCTATATTCAATGAAGCCTATTTTGTGTATTGTTTCATGGGAGGGTTAAAACCTGACTTGGAATCCATGGTTAGGGCATCCAATCCCAAACTATGATTGATACATTGGAAATAGCCAAGATCCATGAGAAAACACTGGCCACCATATACAAAAATGTCTAACCCTCAAGAATTTCCACAACTCAGCCCATAATCACTTTTCCTCCCAGCCCTAAAGTGAGCCTAAACCTGAATGCAAAAAATCTTCTTCCTATTGTGACACGAAAGCCAATAATGTTACCAAATAACCCTTCTTTAGAGACGTTAAAGGAGAATAAATTATGTTATAAATGTCATGACAAGTACTTTCCGGATTATGTGTGCAAAGCTAAAATACTTAACTCGATGGAAAGTAATGAGGGAGAGACCACCTTTGAGGTGGGTGAAAGTGCAGGGGTGACGGAGGGATAAGAAGCTGTTGAAAATCAGGAAGAAGCTGAAGTGAATGTCATGGAATGTATGGCAGAGGATGAGGCAGTAATCAGTGGGCTGGAAGGTTCAGACAAAGGCCCAACTACTATTAAAATTCCCGGGATCTTAAAAAATGAGCCTGTGATAATTTTAGTTGATTCCGGAGCAACCCATAGTTTTCTGGACACGGAATTGGCTAAGAAATTGCAATTAATTATGCAGCCCATGATTAGACCAATGAAGGTGAGAGTATCCAATGGGGGTATTATGTTTAGTAATATTTTTTGTCCTAAAGTTATTTGGCAAATGCAAGGAGAGGTTTTCAGATTTGACTTAAGGTTGATGAAGGTTGGGGGTTGCGACTTAGTATTGGGAATTGATTGGATAGATGTGATAGCCCATATGGTTATTAACACTAGACCTCATAATATTTCGTTCGTACGGAGAAATCGAATGGTAACGTTGGTGGGATTTCCAGATTCCCAGGCCATGGCCCAAATAGACACTCATTTGATTTCTGGACTTTTAAATAGGGGAGGATGCAATTGGGTAGCCCAAACCTATCAAATGGAAGCTAGTGGGCCACATGAAGAAATAGTTCCCAGTTCAGTAGAAGACATCCTGTTGGAAAATGGAGAAGTATTCCTTGAACCTACTAAATTACCCCCAATCCGCTCATGTGATCATATGATAGAGTTGATTCCAGGTTCAATACCAGTAAACCAGAGGCCTTAGAGATATTCATATGAACAAAAAGATGTTATTGAAAAAATGGTTCAAGAAATGTTAAAGGCAAAAACAGTAAAGCACAGTGCATCGCCCTTTACCTCTCCAATCATTCTTGTCAAGAAAAAAGATTCAACATGAAGGTTGTGTGTGGATTACCGGAGACTCAATGATATTACCATAAAAAATAATTATCCTATTTCGGTGGTAGAGAATTTTCTTGATGAACTTCATGGTGCATATTATTTTTCAAAATTAGACTTGAGATCGGGGTATCACCAAATCCGTATAAAGGAGGGTCATGAACATAAAACGGCTTTCAAAACACACCATGGGTTGTGAGAATTCACCGTAAAGCCGTTTGGTTCGACAAATGCACCGGCAATATTCCAAGCTCTTATGCACCAGATTTTTGGCCCTTACATAAAAAAATTCGTGTTGGTGTTCTTTGATGATATTTTAGTCTATAGCATTACTCTTACAGAACATTTAGAACATTTGAGAGTAGTATTTATATTATTGTCCATGCACCAATTGTATGCTAAACGTACTAAGTGCAGCTTTGCGTAGCCCAAAGTTGAATACTTGGGCTATGTCATCAAGGGGGAAGGAGTTTGTACAGATGAAGCCAAAATTGAGGCTATGATCAGTTGACCTAGGCCGAAATACATCAATGGGTTACGGGGTTTTCTTGGATTAACTGGTTATTACCGACTCTTTATCAAGAATTATGCGGTGATCAGCAAACCCTTAACCTTACTGTTAAAAAAGGGTGGATTTTTGTGAAGTGATAAAGCAACAGAAGCTTTTGAAGCATTTAAAATTGCTATGACTCAGGCGCCAGTTTTGGCTTTACCAAATTTTAAAGTGCCTTTCGTAGTGGAGGTTGATGCAAGTGGACTGGGAGTTGGGACTGTGCTTTCTCAAAATCATAAGCCTATCGCGTTCATGAGTCAGGCTCTTAGCCAGAAATACTTGGGCTTATCGACATATGAGAAGGAGTTGATTGCTCTTCTCTTGGCAGTCGAGAAATGGAGGCACTACCTCCAACCAAATTACTTTATCATCCGCACAGACCATTTCAGCTTAAAGTTTTTGAGGGATCAACGCATCACTAATGCATTACAACATAAATGAGTTACAAAGTTAATGGGCCTTAGCTATGAAATACATTATAGGCAAGGAAAAGAAAATGTTGTCGCGGATGCATTATCCCGACGGATGGAGGAGTCCTCTGATACAGGCGAAGAAGCTGAATGTTTAGGCTTAAATGTAGCCCAACCCAAATGGTGCAAGAAGTGCTTGATAGTTACAAAGATGATCCAAAAGTTCAAGAATTGATTGCTAAACTCAGCATAGACCCACACGCAGAATCAGGTGTGGCATTACAAGCAGGATTATTAAGGTGTCATGGAAAACTATGGGTAGGCAAGCAGTTGAGTCTGAAAAATAAGTTGATTAATGACATGCATTCTACCTCATGGGGGGGGGAGGGGGATATTCAGGGATTCATGCAACTTACCAAAGGCTTAAAGAAATCTTTTATTGGCCTGGGATGATTAAGGATGTAAAGGTTGTGGTACAGGAATGTGAGGTATGTCAAAGAAACAAGGAGGAAAGTGTGGCTTACCCTAGGCTATTACAACCCTTACCAATTCTGGAAAAAGCTTGGGAACATATATCCATGGATTTCATCGAAGGATTGCCTAAATCACAAAGAAATGAGGTCATATTAGTGGTCATTGACAAGTTTACCAAATATGCATATTTCATTGCAGTTTCACACCCTTACAATGCTGCTCAAATTGCTCAGATTTTCTTAGATCATGTTTGCAAGTTACATGGGGCTCCATGTTCTATTGTCTCTGACCGTGGCCCTATTTTTGTGAGCTTGTTCTGGCAGGAACTCTTTAAAATCATACAAGTTGAGTTAAAATTAAGCTCAGTTTATCACCCACAAACCGACGGACAAACCGAAAGATTGAATCGCTGTTTGGTGTCTTATCTCAGATACATGACAGGTCAAAAACCTAAAGAATGGAGTAAATGGCCTCCAATGGAAGAGTTTTGGTACAATACCAATTTCCAATCAGCAATTAACATGACTCCTTTTAAGGCTCTTTATGGCTATGAACTACCTCTGCCGACATTTGAATTGGTTGCACAATCCAAGGTTGAAGCAGTTGATCAAATGTTGAAAGATAGACAAATTGTGAACAAACAATTGAAAGAAAACTTGGTTAAAGCTCAAATTCGCATGAAATAGTATGAGGACAACAAAGAACCACCTTTCCGCATGCCGGAGGGGCAACTTGTGGCAGAACCAATTGCAATTTTGGACCGGCGCATGATAAAAAGGGGAAACCATGCGGTGACACAAGTTCTGGTCCAGTGGGCTAATCTAGCTCTAGAAGATGTGACATGGGAAGACTTTTCGTTCCTCACCTCGTAATTTCCAGATTTTCAACCTTGAAGATCAAGGTTCTGGAAGGGGAATGGGATGTTGTGGTTATTGAAATTGGGTATTTTGTTAAGATGCAATTGTCACGACCCAAAATTTCTCATCGACGGGACCGTGATGGCGCCTAACATTTCACTTGCCAGGCAAGCCAACATTAGAAAATTGTTAAACCAATTTCTTATTTTCATTCAGTAAATAATAATAATTAACTAAGATAAAATATAATAAGTGAAGAATATCATAAAACTGTATTAATTACTACCACCCGGATCTAGAGTCACAATTCACGAGCATTCTAGAATTTACTACAAGTAATAGTCTGAAAGAAATATAACTGTCTGAATGAAAGAAAATAGTAGGACATAAAAGATAGATGGGGACTTCAAGGTCTGTGAACGCCGACAGATCTACCTTGAGTCTCCGGACAGCGGACCAGTAGTAAATCTCGATCAACCTGAGCTGGTATCAAAATCTGCACAAAAGGTGCAGAGTGCAGCATCAGTACAACTGACCCCATGTACTGGTAAGTGTCGAGCCTAACCTCGGCGAAGTAGCGATGAGGCTAGGACAAGGCTCCCACATATAACCTGAACAGTATAATCATGCTAGTGGCAACAACAGTAAGTAAAGCAATAACGCAGAAATAATGGGAAGGGGACATACAGTGGGAAAATACAACATAAAGAGTGAGAATTATGAAAAGACAGAATTAAACAGAAAATCCGTAAACGAACTGAGCAATTAAAACAGCAAAGGAAAACTGCACGGCATCACCCTTCATGCATTTACTATCAATCTCACCAAATAAATAAATAGAACGGTACAGCATCACCCTTCGTGCTTTTACTCTCTTCCTCACAATGTAAATAATTCATGCACGGCATCACCCTTCGTGCTTTTACTCTCTTCCTCACAATGTAAATAATTCATGCACGGCATCACCCTTCGTGCTTTATACTCTTACTCACAATATAATTAAATTATGCATGGCATCACCCTTCGTGCTTTACGCTCTTCCACACAATATAATTAAATTATGCACGGCATCATCCTTCGTGCTTTACACTCTTCCTCACAATTCACAAAATAAATAACAACGGATAGAGAGAAGTTTCACAAGAAATCAATATTTCATCAATGATTACCTTCATAATTTAACATCTCGACCTCGAATCAATATTCACAATCTTATCGACCTTGATGGAACCAGATACAAGTCTCCTAACATTTCATCAACAACAATAAGCATGGATAACAAAATTTAAGACTACAATTTGCAAGAAATGGAATTTCACTCGCATGCTATGACTCGACCACAACGTATAGATGCTCTCACCTCGACTATACGTCTATTCAACAACGAAACACGTAGCAAATACTCACACAATACCTATTCCCTCAAGCCAAAGTTAGACACAACACTTACCTCGCTCCGAAGGCCACTTAATTCTTAATCATAGCTTTTCCTTTAGAATTCAACTCCAAACCACTCGTATCTATTCAAAAATGACTCAATAATATCAAATATTGCTAAAGGAATTAATTATATTTCATAAATTAAATTTCACAAATTTTCCACCAAAAAGTCGAAAAATCGACACCGGGCCCGCTTGGTCAAAACGCGAGGTTCGGACCAAAATCCTTTTATCCATTCATCCCCGAGCTCGAATATATAATTTGTTTCGGAATCCCACCCCAAATTGAGGTCTAAATCCCCAAATTCCCGAAATCCCTAATTTCTACCCTAACTCCTAATTCTACCATGAAACTCTAGAATTTTGGTTGAAAATTCAAGAAATGTAATGGGTAATTGAAAGAAAATGGTTTAGAATCACTTACCAACAATTTGGGAAAGAAATGACTCTTGAAAAATCGCCTCTCACCGTTTGGTTTTTGAGAAAAATGAGTTTTTGGCTAAAATCCCATTTTTGGATTCTGTTAAGTGCTGGGCGATAGTGTTCATCGCGTTCGCGAAGGGTACTGGCTGCCAAGACTTCACGTTCGCGAGACCCAGCTCGCGTTCGCGATGATCACTCCCCCCTGGCCTTCGCGTTCGCCATACATGGCTCGCGTTCGCGATGAAGCAATGACCAACCACCCCCAGGTCCCCACATGCTTCGCGTTCGCATTGAGACAGTCGCGTTCACGAATGGTAAGTCCCCCATCACTTCTCGTTTATCAGGCTCCAGCAGCTTAGCCAGTTAGATTAGTTCATCCGATTATTGCGGCACAGGTCGGAGATGGGCCAGCTATGTCTTCTAAGGCTTTATGGAGATTGGACAGGTTTATCAAGCTCATTCCTATTCACTTCAGTAGTGCTCTTTCAGAGGAACCCTAGGAGTATCTTGACAGCTGTCACGAGGTTTTACGGAACATGGGTATAGTGGAGACCAATGGGGTCGATTTTGCTGCATTTCAAATGACTGGTTCTGCCAAGAAATGGTGGAGAGATTACTTGTTGACAAGACAAGCTGGATCGCCTGCTCTTACTTGGGACCAGTTCTCTCAGCTCTTCATAGAGAAATTTTTGCCTATCACATTGAGAGAGGAGCATTGCCGTCAGTTTGAGCGTCTCCAGCAGGGCAGTATGACTGTTACTCGGTATGAGACCCGTTTTGTGGATTTGGCCCGTCATGCTATTCTTTTGCTTCCCACCAAGAGAGAGAGGGTGAGGAGGGTTATTGATGGACTTGCTCAGCCTATCAGATTGTAGATGGCTAAGGAGAGTGGGAGTGAGATTTCTTTTCAGGCGACTGCTAATGTCGCCGGACAAGTCGAACTGGTTCTTACTCAGGGATGTCAGGGGTCTGACAAGAGACCTCGTTATTCCGGTGAGTTCAGCAGTGCCTCATCTAGAGGCAAGAGTTTTTTTGGTAGAGGCCATTCTCCCAGGCCGTTTCATTCAGCGCTTCAGGCATCCCACGGTGCCTTAAGTAGTCGTGGCCCTCAGCTACATTATTCCGACCAGATAGCCTACGGTGCACCACCAGCTCCTATTAGTGCACCTCCACTCCAGAGTCATCAGGGTGGTTATTCAGGTCAACAGGGTCAGTTTCAGGGTCAGCAGTCACAACAGCCAAAGTTATGTTATACTTGTTGTGATCCGAGGCACATTGCTAGATTTTTCCCTCGGGCAACGGGAAGCTCACAACATCAGAGTTCTTGTGCCATGGTTCCGGCACCAATTGCTGCACCACCTGCTCAGCCAGTCAGAGGCAGGGGTCAGGCAGCCAGAGGTAGAGGCTAGACTGTTAGAGGTGGAGATCAGGCCGTTAGAGGTGGAGACCACCCTGTTAGAGGCCATCCCAGGGACGTAGTTCAGGCTGGTGTGGCCTAGCCCCGGTGTTATGCTTTCCCAGCAAGGCTTGAGGCTGAGTCATCTGACGTTGTTATCACAGGTACTATTTCAGTTTGCAGTAGAGATACTTCAGTTCTATTTGATCCGGGATCTATTTACTCCCATGTGTCATCCTATTTTGCTTCCTATTTGGTTGTGCCCCGTGATTCTTTGAGTACTCCTGTGTATGTGTCCACACCAGTGGGAGATGTTATTGTTGTAGATTGTGGTCACCATTGGGGTCTTGAGACTCGTGTAGATCTCCTACTTCTTGACATGGTTGATTTTGATGTCATACTGGGTATGGATTGGCTGTCACCTTATTATGCTATATTAGATTGTCACACTAAGACAGTGACCTTAGCCTTGCAGGGGTTGCCTTGATTAGAGTGGAGAGGAAATCTTGGCCATTCTGCCAGCAGGGTTATATCTTATGTGAAGGCTCGGAATATGGTCGAGAAGGGGTGTCTAGCTTATTTGGCTTAGGTTCGCGATTCTAGTCCGGAGGTTCCTTCCATAGATTCGGTGCCGGTTGTTCATGAGTTTCCAGAGGTGTTCCCTGCAAACCTGCCGGGGATGCCACCCGACAGGGATATTGATTTTTGCATTGATTTGGCTTCGGATACTCAGCCTATTTCCATTCCGCCATATCGCATGGCCTCGCCAGAGTTGAAAGAATTGAAGGAGCAGTTCTAAGATTTTCTTGATAAGGGCTTCATTAGACCTAGTGTCTCGCCCTGGGGTGCACCTGTGTTGTTTGTGAAGAAGAAAGACGGATTGATGAGGATGTGTATTGATTATCGGCAGTTGAACAAAGCCACCATCAAGAACAAATATTCATTACCGAGGATTGATGATTTATTTGATCAGCTTTAGGGTGCCAAGGTGTTTTCAAAGATTAATTTGAGATCTGGCTACCATCAGTTGAGGATTACGACATCCGATGTTCCTAAGACAGCTTTTCGGACTCGGTATGGGCATTATAAGTTTCTAGTGATGTCATTTGCCCCAGCAACATTCATGGATTTGATAAACCGGGTGTTCAAACCCTACCTGGATTCCTTTGTGGTTGTGTTTATTGATGATATCTTGATCTACTCCCACAGTCGAGAGGAGTATGAACAACACCTTCGGATCGTTCTTCAAACTCGGAAAGACAGCCAGTTATATGCTAAGTTCTCAAAATGCGAGTTTTGGTTGAGTTCAGTTGTTTTCTTAGGTCACGTTGTATCAGCAGAGGGTATTCAGGTGGATCCTAAGAAGATTGAGGCAGTTCAGGACTGGCCTAGACCCACATCAGCTACAGAGATCCGTAGTTTCCTGGGTTTAGTGGGCTATTACCGTCGATTTGTTGAGGGGTTTTTATCCATAGTAGCCCCGATGACCGGATTGACCCAGAAGGGTGCCCCGTTCAGGTGGTCAGACGAGTGTGAAGCGAGCTTTCAGAAGCTCAAGACAGCTTTGACTA